CCCCGCCCCATCCACATTAGGGCCCTCTGCAGCCTTCTCTTCCCCATCCCTGTCCTTTCCCCAGGCTCTGCATCACTCCCAGCTGGGAAAAAACGCCTCCTCGGGATGGCTGAGCTGCAGGCAGCTGCTCCTGATGGTGCTGAGCCGGCTCTGCCCGGGAGTGCTGGGGCATGGCGGGGGCCGGTGGCGGCAGCACGGGGCAGCTGCTGCACGTTTTGGGGAATGAACGGGGAAGTTCTGCTGTGAAAGCCCTGACTCTTCCAGCAGGGACAGACTCACTTCCCCTGGGTTGCTGGTTAGTTCCTCTTCCTGGGATGGCTCTGGCATGGGAGGAGGCTGAAGTGACAGAGGTGATGGAGCTGAAAAGGGGGATCACCGCAGATACGTATGTGCTTTTGCCGGGATAACGCTGGGAGCAGGAACGCTGTCGGGATGGCCTTTATGGCCACAGTGTGGGCCCTGGGCCAGCTGGAAAACCCTGGGATGGGGAGCCCTTCCTGGAGGCTCCCACACCAACCTGGAGCCGTCTGCATTGCAGACCGGGCTGCGAGATCACCTCACCCAGCCCAGCTGCGGGTGTCACGGCCACCCCACTGCGAACAGCCCCCGGCAGAGAGCTGCAGGCTCTGGGGTCAGAGGAGGGAGAAGCCCCCGGGGGCAGATGGGAGCTGCTTTGTCTCCCCACCATGCAGGAGCAGCTCCCAGATGAGAACCAGGGCTTCTTCATGCTGAGGCTGCTGCTGCCAGCTCATCCTGTCCCCCCGTGCCTGTGACGTGGCTGGCGCAAGGCGAAACCTGTCCCTCCCCACCCCAGCTGAGGGATTTAAAAAGCTGTGCTCACCCTGTGGTGGGTGCTGGGTGGGGAGGCAGAAGGGTGAGGGAGGGGAAGCGAGGAAGGACGGCCACCTGTGGAATGCAGGAGAGGAAGATGCGGCTCTGACCTCGCCCAAAACCAGCAGAGCTGTTAAATGCTCAGGGTGGGGGCAAGGGGTGGCAAGCGACAGGGCTGGTGCCAGCCAAAACCAGCAGGGCATGGGATGGATGGAGGCACTGGGAGATGGTTTCGGTGCTGCTTTGGGTGCCAGGTCTGACTTCTGGCCCCAGTGCCGGGTCTGGCAGGGACCCTTGGCCCCAGCCCCAAGGACACAGTGCCCCGACACACCAGGCTCCTGCATCATCACGATGCCAAGGCTTGCTGGGATCCCCTGCAGTGGTGGGACAGCCTTGTCCTGCTGCTTGTTCCTGGCACGGGGAAGTCGCGGATAACTTCAGCTGGGAAGGCCACGCAGTCCAGTGCTCTGGCTGTAAAAGGTAGGTGGCCTTAGAAAAATGCCCAAGGGCTACTAATAGCCATGTCAGTTCCCAGCAACCTTCCCGGTGGTAGGAATTAGAGGTGGTTAGTGAGCAGAAAACCCATGGGTTGTAACCACTGAGCAGTCGGAGTCTCCGTGCTTGCAGGGATCAGCAGGGACTGAGGACAAACCAGAAAGGCTGGAGGTATCTGAAAGCCATCAGGGCTGGTGTAGATCACGGCTCTGCACCAACGGGTGGGATTTGCTTGGGACTGGTGGAAAAAACTCGTGTCAGTGAATAAACAGAGTCTGTGGAGACACCCCCCCCACACCTCAATGTTCGAGCTTCTCATGGTGTGCAGAAGCCTGGGAGGGGAGGGGATACTATAAACAAGAAACAACCTTTTTGTCCTCATTGATGTTTCATTTTTAGGCAAATAAAATGCCTTTACCAGTCCCCTGCTAAACAAACCAGCAGTGTGCGACTCCCTGACCAACTGGGGTCGGGGTGAGGGTTAGGGTTAAGGTCAGGGGCGGGGTCAGGGTTATGGACATGGTGAGGATCTGGGTCAGGATTAGGGTCAGGGTCGGGTTTAGGGTCAGGGTGAGGGTTTTGGTTAGGATTAGTGTTAGAATAGGGTTAGTGTCACCTTTAGAGTCAGGGTTAGGGTCTGGGGAACCAGAAAGCCCACAGCTCCAGGGATAATTGGGATTGCAGAGGCCTGCCAAGAGGAGCACAGCACGGCACCCACATTGCTCCCTGCCCAGCTTTCCCAGCTGGGGCACCCATGGTGCTGGGGACCTCAGCCTCAGGCCAAACCTATTGGGGTTAAGGTTAGAGGAGGGGGAGCAGTGGAGCGGCTTGGCAAAACCCAGGGTGCAGCCAAGGTCACCCCTTGGTTTCCTTCTCTCAGGCCCCTGTCCCTGGTTTTAATTCTGCCCGTGTTGCTTTTTCCCTGGCACTGCAGAATTTCCTTGGGCTGGGACTTTCTCTCTCACTGTCCTGCTGCTCCCCCCATCTCTCTCTTCCCTGCTCCCCGTCTCTGATTGATTCCTCCCTCTCTCTGTCCCTGCTTTTGGCTCAGTCTCGACTCTCCGCACTCTCACCCCACACCCCGTCCCCCTCTTGCTCACAGCATCCTGTTTCCTGGCTCCCTGCCCCACAGCTCTCTGTCCCTCGGTCCTTCCTCCTGTTTTTCTCTCCCTTTTCCCCCCTCTCTCCTGCTGCCTATGGGCTCTGAGCCTTGGAGCCAATTCGCTGCATGGATTTCTTATGGCCACTAAGGAATAAACTCCTCTGACTCCTCTGTGCCCCCAGGTGCGGAGCTCGGGGCTGTGGCCAGGGGCGGGCTGATGTGCTGGGGGGCTTTAGCTGTGACCCCTGATCCTGGTGGGCTCTGGCGGGGGCTGGGGCAGCCCCAGGTGCGACCAGTGAGGCTGAAGATG